GCCCCTCACCATGGAGATGAGCAAAGCACCTTCAGGAATGGCTGTGCCTCTCTGTGAGCTCCCTCTCCCTGGGGACACGTCTGGGGACAGTGACACCCAGGACCAGGGTCCCCACCCTGCAGGTGGCACTGAAGGAATGGGGCAGGGGTGGCACTGCTGCCTCCTCGCACCTGATGGGCCCCACACCTTCACGGCCTGCCCAGGTGCCTCCCTGGCTGTTTAACATCAGCTTTTGGCAGCCCCCATCTCCGTGTTCAGGAGCTGCTGCAGTCGCAGGTCCTGGCAGGGCTCAGGGCCCAGCTCTGCTCCCTGGCAGCCACGGGCTGAGCCCTGGGACCAGCACACACAGATGCTGGGCCAGCATCTTCCCTGAACCAGCAAATGCTGGAATTCACAAAAAAAACCTCATAACAAAAGGTACCAACCCCACTGCCCTGACCCACTGCACCCCACTCCCTGTGCCCATGGCACTTCTGTCCCCCCAGCACATCTGGGGGACCCCGCCGTGAGTCCTGCAGGCCCCTCTGCCTGCTTGGATGGGCTGTTCAGGAGAGAAAATTCGGAGAAAAAGGAGGAAGGATTCATCCCAGCTCAGCCAATGAACTGCTCGTTCAATATGGGAATATGAACAATGCAAACCTTGGGAAATGAAATAAAAAAGGCTTTATTTAGAAGCAGAATGCTCAGGTATTATCTGGCAGCACCAAACCCCTACTCACACACCTTCATCGAGCATAGTCAGAGGTTAATTTTATGACAGATTTAACCAAGGCCATTGTCTGAAATGTAAATAAACCTTCTCAAAAATCAGGTTTAAAAATCCAGCGCTGCTTCCTCGTCCCCAGCAGGGAAGCCAGGAGCCGTCAGACAGGCCAGGCTCCAGGGAGGGCACGGAGCCCATCCCGTCCCTGCTGCCAGGGAGGACACAGGGGCACGGCAGCCGAGCCTCAGCACAAACTTCCAGCCCCAGACGGGAGAGGCACGGCCGCTGCTCCAGCCGGGTTCTCCTGGTCTGAGCAAGAGCAGCGAGGCTGAAATCCCAGGCGGCAGGAGCAGAACCTGCCTGGGCCAGGAGACACCGCGGATCTCGGCGAGATGTGAAATCCCTGCGCTCGTGGGGGAATGACCTTCAAAACTCATTCAGCGCTCGCAGCCTGCGCCGTGGCGGTTCCCTCACTTGTGAGACATCGCACATTCCTGCTGTGCTCTCCCTAATTTCGCATGGACTATAAATACTTGGCTCATCAGGCAGCACGAAAACCGGCGAGAGCAAACGTTTAAGCGGGGTAACCTTGCCTGTCAGGGTGGCAGGAGCAAATTCTTCATCCCTCAGGTCGCGCATGCTAAATGCCAGGAATCCCTGTTTACTATGCTGCACATCAAATACCAGCCGGAATATGGGACCATGTAGTATTTTCTCTTTAAAAAAAACTGACATGCAGAATGACGACACCTCGTCAAATTGTCTTCAGGGCAGAAAATCCAGATTTTTCTGAACCGCTCAGCCCACACTTTCTCTCCCAAACTACAGTTTCCCATTTAATTAGTATTAAAAGCAACCTCTGAGACTCGAATTAGTTTGGCTTATGCGAAATGAACTGGGCTGCTGTTGGAGCTGTTTACTGGGTCACACTTTACAACCCCGGTGGGGGAGGCGAGCGGCGTTACCACCATTCTTCAGTGGCATTTGCACAAATCACCCTATTTATGGGTTTTAGGCTGGTGAAGCCAAAATGACGGTGCCTCCCATAGCCTGCAGCACCCTTGGTAACCGTCCTTTGGCATTCGCACCCAAAGCAGGTTTGTGCCTGTCAGCGAGGGGATGTTCACCCGTCCTTGGCACCACGGGGCAGGGAGAGCTGGGGACCCCGAGGCCGGGCGCTGGGAGCTGCTGCTGCTGCTGCTGCTGCTGCTGACGCGTTGAGTCACCTTTACTCAAAACTCTGCCCCGAATTTTCCATCGCCCACGGGCTGGGCTGGGGCCAGCCGCCTCCAGCAGCAATCCCCGCGCGTGCGGCTCCGCACAGGTTTTCCTGAGCTCCCTTGCGAGGATGATGCTGATGGCAGGGATGAAGCGCAGGAGCAGCCGGAGCCAGGGATGCTCCTCTCAGCCCCCGGTCACACGGTCCCGGTACCGGACTCGCTCCAGCGGAGCCCGGCAGCGCCTTTCCCTAGTTTTCGGCAATACGACACATGCCGCGACATCTGCGCGCTGAGCGATGCCCCTCGCAGCCGTGGCAGCGCAGGGACAGCGGCGGAGGGCCCACGGCCCCGGCCCCGGCCCCGGCTCCCGGTCCCGGCACGGGGGCGGTGGATGCGCGTCCGTCCCCGCCGCTCCGGACGATTACAAAACCCGAGCGCTCATCACGGCGAGCCGGGCGCTCACGGGGGAGGCACAGCGGGCACCGGGCTGCGGCGGGGCCGGGAGGGTCTGTCCGTGCCAGCAGCACCCCCGCGCATCCCTGCCCCGCTGCATCCCTGTGCATCCCTGTGCATCCCTGCCCCGCTGCATCCCCCGAGCTCCCCTTCGCACCCACGTCCTCCCCGCGCTGCTGCAGCCCCCGCGCCCGGGGCTGGCACCGAGCGGCTCCCCCGGCCCCGGGGCTGCCCCTGCCCCGCTCCGGCTGCGGGCGTTGCGGGCATCACCGCACCGGGGGCAGGCGGGCGGCTCCGCGCCATCCCCGCACCCCTCGGCGGCTGCGGGGGTCGCAGGCTCAGCCCCGGGGCTCTCCCCGCCGCCGGCAGCCGCGGCTCCGGTGCCGCCCGAGAGCCGGGGGAGGCGGGAGCGGAGCGGGGGGGCCGCCTTTGTTGGCGGCGCGGGGCAGCACCGGGGCCGCCCCCGCCGCTCCGCTCCGCTCCTTTTGTCTGCCGGGGCCCGGCGGCAGCGCGGCGGCTGCGGGGGCAGAGCGGCCCCGGTGGCGGTGCCGGTGGCGGTACCGGTGGCGGTACCCGTGTCCGCGGCGGTACCGGTGCGGCGGGGCTCACCTGGATGGTGCAGGTGTACTCGCTGTCGTCCAGCAGCCGCACGGTGCAGTTGTACTCGCGGTCCAGGTTCCTGCTGCTGCCACTCATCCACCTGCTCAGCATCTTCCCGGGGCGCGGGGCGGCGGGCGCTGCCGGCGGAGCGGCGGCTCACATCGCGCTGCGGGGCGGGGCGGTGCGGGGAGGGGCGGGGAGGGGCGGGGCTGTGCGGGGCGTGGCGGGGCTGTGGCCGCGCCCCCTGCCCGGTTCCGTTCGGTTCGGTTCGGTTCGGTTCGGTTCGGTTCGGTTCGGCTCGGCTCGGAGCGCGGTGTCCGTGCCCACACGGGCGGGTGTCCCCCGGCTCGGGCTCCGGCGCGGTGACGGTGACGGGCTCCGCCGCAAACCAATGCGGCACGGGCGGCACGGCCCCGCCGGGAGCCCCGCACCGGGGGGAACCGGGAGCACCGGGGGGAACCGGGAGCACCGGGAGCCGGAGCTGCGGGGCTCCCCCGCCGCTGTCCGCACCCCCGCCCGCCCCACGCACCGAGGGGCTCCCCCGCAGCGCGGTTTGGCGGCCCCGGTTCGGGTGGGGAGTCCTGGCATGGGGCAGGGGGTACCCGCAGCCCGGACCCCCAGCCCCGGGGACTCTGTGTCCCCAAGGACAGGCTGGGCGTGACCCAGCTGGCCGCGGTCCCTGCCAGAGTACGGACCTGTGCCCGGCTCTCCTGTCAGAGCCCAATTCCGTTTCTAGGCTGGGATCCACATGCAGGGCTGGCAGCTGCCCTGGTCCTTCCAGCAGAGCCAGCCAAAGTGCCAACGTGGCCCCCAGGACGTGAGCTTGTCCCTTGGTGTTCATTTGTCATGGAAGGAAACCTTCAGATCTCTGGCTTTTGGACAAAATGGGCTCCAGGAGCCGGCAGTGCTGATGGGGAGCAGCTGGTGCAGCTCTGGGGCAGTGAAATCCCCGGGGGCAGCAGCAGCGGTGCCCAGGGAGGCTGGGACTCCAGCCAGCATCACTGCAGGCTTCTGCCTCCATCCCCCTGCCTGGCTGTCACACTCCCCACAGTCACCCCAAGGCCCCACCGAGGGGCTCAGCAACGCTCCCCACTCCAGCCTGGCTCCACACACCCCAAACACCCAAACCAAACAGGCCACAGTGAGGACCTGTGTTGAGCTGTCCCCAGTCCATGCTGAGCTGTCCCCAGTCCGTGTTGAGCTGTCCCCAGTCCATCCCCCTGCACCACAGGCCCTGTTCCCACTGCACCCTCCTGGCTCAGCTCCTCTTCCCCTGGAGCCTCCCCTTTGTCCCCTCCCTGCCTTCCCAGCCAGCAGGGAGCTTTGCAGAGCTGCATCCCTCACCTTCCCACCCCATCCCTCACCTTCCCACCCCATCCCTCACGTTCCAGATCTCTGCTGCCTGCAGGGCTGTGTCTCTCCCTGCCCCTTTGCACTCCCACAGGAAGGACAGCTGCTCTCAGGGGCTCTCCAGGCTCTTCCATCTCTGATCCCCCAATGTGTGGGGTTGGGATCCTCCAGCACCCTACGGTTCGAGGGTTATCTCATGTTGGGTGATGAGAGGTGAGTCTCTCCCAGCCTGTCACCCCATCCCCAGCCAGGCTGCCTGTCAGGCTGGGCACCCCTCTGTGACCACTGTGCCCATGGTGGACACCCCCCTGTGACCACTGTCCCCACGATGGACACTCCTCTGTGACCCTCGTGCCCATGGGGGGACACAGAGGCCAAGGTTTGTTTATCTCAGTGCCCAGCAGCCATAAATCCAATTGCCCATTTAATGCAAACTGGGAACAGCAGGCTGCAGGCAGAGGTGCTGCAGCAGTGGGAGCACCTGGGAAGGAAAACGTGTGAGCAGAGGCAGGCCCGGGCCTGAGTGGGGTCTGTGGAGCTGGATCCTGCAGCTCCCGGGAGCAGGACACGTTGTCAGGGGCGTGATGTGAGCACAGAACAACAAGGGAGCTTTTCACAGCCACGGCCCCGCTCCTCAACCATCTGGGCACTCGTACAAAGATGCTTGTATTCACCCAAGTGGCTGCTGCTTTGTCACGGATCCCACTCTGCAGGAATTGTTCGTGCTCCCCTCGTGCAGCTGAGCGGCTGCAGTGGAATGGGAGCCTGGCAGGGCTGAGCAGCTCCACCAGAGCCACATCCACGGCTCTGCCCAGCCCTGCCTGGGCCACAGCCCCGCTGCAACTCCATTCCTTCACCCACGGAATGGTTTGGTTGAGGTTCCAGTTTCTGCTTTTATTTTATTTTTTTTTTTTTTCCGGAAGCCCCTGGCTGAGTTCACCCCCCCTCTGCTGCTCTGACTCGTCCTCAGAACAGGGAACAGCACTGGAGCCCGACAGCTCCACGTTCCACTCTCAAAATACCTGACAAGGTTTCCACAGAGCGTATCAAAGGCTGGCAGATGCCTTTAGAAAAGTTCTCTCTGTTTGCAGCTTTGATCGACAAAGAATGCACTTTTCATGAGTAACGTCTTTTTCTTTCCCTTTTAATAATTTATACTGTAAATCCTACAAATTCTCCCGATTTGGATTCTCTGTTACTTGCAGGTTTGAGCCAAAAAATGCAGCTTTCCAAATGTAAAGTGAATTCTTAGCTGTGTTTGTTTTCCAGCAGGTTAAATTTCACTAGGAGAGTTGCACAGAGAAGTTGTGGCTGCTGGATCCCTGGAAATGTTCCAGCTCCTGGACAGGGCTTGGAGCAGCCTGGGACAGTGGAAGGTGTCCCTGCCCATGGCAGGGGGTGGGATGGGATGAGATTTAAGGTCCCTTCTGACCCAAACCATTCCAGGGTTCTGTGCTTTCAGTAGGAAACGTCATTTATTGCCTATTCTGTACCTACCCCGTGCATTTATCATCCATTACAGCCCGTCCCCCACAGGCAGCTGGAGCTCTGAGAGCAGAGCAGCTCTGAGGTGTGGAGAACAACACCTGGGTGTGCCCAGGTGAGGCAGGAGCAGAGCCCAGGTGAGGCAGGTTCAGGGCCCAGGTGAGGCAGGTTCAGGGCCCAGGTGAGGCAGGTTCAGGGCCCAGGTGAGGCAGGAGCAGGGCCCAGGTGAGGCAGGTTCAGGGCTCAGGTGAGGCAGGTTCAGGGCCCAGGGATGCTGAGTGCCTGCCTGGATTCCCTGGGCAGCCCCGGGGTCAGGGATGGCTGCTCACCTTTCATTGCTGTAAATGCTGGGAGCAATGAGCCCCCCGTGCTGGACCACCCCAGGCCAGCCCTGGTGGCCCCGTGTGGCTGCAGCCTCCTGGATTTGGGCACATTTGGCTTTTCCTGGAGCTGGCAGCTCTGCTTTGCCTTTCAGCAGTACCTGCATCTGGAATCGTATATTTAGCTATAATTCCATATAAATAGAAACCCTGATTGTTACATAAACCCTGTCCTCAGCTCTGAGCTCTGGCACTGGGATGTCACAGTGGGGCCCAGCCCTCGGGGCTTGCCCGGAGCCCAGGGGGCCAGCGGTGCTGTCAGCCTGGCAGAGCAGCTGGGCTCGTCCCTGGCCACCTCTCCAGGCTGAGCCATCAGCCCCCACCTCACGTTTGCTCTCGGCTTCCTGTGCACTCAGAATCCACAGCAACAAACTCCAAATTCTCTCCTAGTCCTCAATTTTTTTTTTCCTTTTTTTGATGGAAAGGTTTGGGGAAAAAAGAGTGAACGTCTTCTGGAGAGAGGCTCACCTGGCTATTGCAGCCAGGCACTGAGCTGCTCCCCATCCACCTGCCCTGGATGTGGAATCAATGTCTGTCACCTCTCTGCTGTATTTTCCTACAATAATGAAGAATTATGACACTGTGGTAACAGCCTGGGGACTCACCAGGCCAGGTCCAGGCTGGTTCCTGAGCCCAGACCTGCCCAGGGCGAGCAGTGGGAGCTCAGTTGGTGTTTGGGGGGTGTGGGAGCCCTGCAGGGAGCGTTTGTGCCTCGCTCACCCTCAGCTGAGCTGTCCCCTCCGGCCAGATGGGCTCAGTAAGGGGCAGGTATTGGGGTCAGACACAGAAAAACAGGGAAAAAAGGAGAGGACAGGAGGAGACAAAGTGAGAGAAGAGAAGAGAAGAGAAGAGAAGAGAAGAGAAGAGAAGAGAAGAGAAGAGAAGAGAAGAGAAGAGAAGAGAA